GTCCGCCCGCCGCCGAAACCGCGGCGTCGGCGGCGGCGACGGGGTTGGCGGCGACGGTGTCGACTTCGGCTGCAGCGGCGGCGATGTTGGCGACGACGACGCTCGCGGCAGTGACAGCAACGACAACATTCGCGGCATCGGCGACGACGCTCGCAGAGCGACGACGACTAGAACCGCCAAGACAACGCCCACGGCGGCAACGACGACGACGACGACTACGACGGCGACGGCGACGTCGACGACGGTGACAATGGCGGCGGCGACGGGTGGCGACGACGATCCCGCTGCGATCGGCAGGCGGGACATCAGATATGAGTCGATCGCCGCATGTTCATTCCCGAGTCAGCTTCGCAGTTCTATGTCCCACCAGGGCAGACAAACTAAACGTGGGGGAGTTGTTGTCCGTACCCCTCCTCTTGGCGGCATCGGATTCGGCACGATCAGTTCTCCAAGATAGGTAAGGAAACAGCTCCCCATTCTGTGACTGGCCAGCAGAGGTCCAAAAAGTCATCAGGGTTGGGCTAGTTACTATTCGATGTTCTCCTCAACCTGCTCCCCGCCCTCGTCGTCCTCATCCTTGGAAGTATCATTATCCTCCCTCCCCCATCTTCCGTTCTCTCTGCTCCCGTGCTCCCTCCTCCCTCCTTCGCCGCCTCCTTCGTCCATCCTCCCTCCTTGCGTCTTCCTTATCATCCTCATATCTTTTTGTTCCTTCTTATTATTATCCGTATTGTTCGTATTAGTAGTAGTAGTAGTAGTAGTAGTAGTAGTAGTAGTAGTAGTAGTAGTAGTAGTAGTAGTAGTAGTAGTAGTAGTAGTAGTAGTAGTAGTAGTAGTAGTAGTAGTAGTAGTAGTAGTAGTAGTAGTAGTAGTAGTAGTAGTAGCCATTATTCCCTGCGGATGCGCGAGGCTGCCGCTAACGCCCCTCGCGTGTGAAGTGCCGAGCAATTCTTGACGCTTCGCGTATCCCCACCAGCCCATCCAGTGACGATGCCCAGGCGAATGGAGGTGATCAGGGAGTGAGGGAGCATACAGAGTAACAAAGGGCTGGGGAACCCGTCTTACCCAAGACGGCGAGGATGGAGGAGGAATCGGAGGAGGATGAGGAGGAGGAGGAACTGAAGGAGGAGGAGGGGGAGCGGGAGGAGGGAGGAGGGAGGAGGAGCAATAGGCGGATGAGGAGGAGGAGGAGGAGGAGGAGCAGCAGGACGAGAATGAGGAGGAGGATGAGGAGAAGGGCGAGCAGAATGGCCAGAGGCCTCTTGGATGCCTCTCGGAGTCTCTTCGGATGTCTCTTGGGAGCGTCCTGAACGCCTCTTAGGGCGTCTTGGGAGCGTCTTGGCGGTCCCGGAGGCCTCTTGGGGCGTCTTGGGTGCCTCGGGGGGCCTCTTGGGGACCTCTTGGGGCCATCTTGGGGCCATCTTGGGGCCATCTTGGCGCCTCTTGGGGCCTCCTGGGCGCCTTTTGGGGCCATCTTGGGGCGCTCTTGGGAGCCTTGGGAGCGCTCTTGGGGCCATCTTGGAGGTGATCGATCAAAGGAAGGGGGTCCCCCAATTAGCCTCCCCCCTCGGGAGCCTCTAAAATCGGCCCAAACCATAGTAAAACCAATGATTTTGGCTTCCTCGCCGAGGCCGTTTTGGACGCTCTAACTACCAGCGGCCCCCCCCGTCCAAGTCCAGGGGAGGGGGTTAGGGGGAGGGGTAAACCCCTCCCCGAAGGGGATGAAGGAGGTTGGAAGAGGAAACTCCCGGAACCACCTACGCCCAGAGGGCTGGTGGGATTTGATGAGGGGATCTCCTCCAATTCCTCCCTAGTTCGATCGACCTCGGACTCCTGTGGAGCGCCGCCTCCGCCTTGCCTCCCTTCCTCGTTCTCCCCATGCCCCATTCCCCATCCCCCCCCCTCTCTCTTCCAGCCTCCCCCCTCCGTCCCCCACCTCCTCCCTGGACAGCTCCCCCCCCCACCCCTGCGGCGCCAGGAACAAAGGCCTAAGGACATCGGCCCGCCTCCGCTCGGGGGTCGCTTCGGGGAGCCCCCCTCCCCTCCGGACCCCCTCCTGCCCTTCCTCTCCAAGCCGCCTGACCAGGGTAGGCGTTGCCAATATGGGAAGGCCTCATCCACCAGCCTGCGCGTGCTTCATCCCGCGCTGGGCTGGCCCGCCCTTCCCATCTGAGGGAGGTCCTTCTTACTCATCCCACGTTGCAGCCACCTCCGTTCCGCCAGGTTGTGCGCGCCTCCCTCTCCACAACTCTCCTCACCCTCCCTCCATCTTCAGTTCTCCCCCTCCCTCCCTCCCTCCCTCCCTCCCTCAAACTCTCCCCTCTTCCCTCCAGCAGCACCAGGGGCGGCCGAGTAGCTCGCCGCCCCCCGCGCCAACCCGGGGGGGGGGACCCCAGCCCCAGGGGGCCTGTCGGTGCACGTACGGCCGCCTGACGCTTACTACCCCCAAGGTCCGACGAGGCGAATGGATCACGTCGCCTCGGAACGATCACGACCAGAGCGCCCGGCCGGCCCCATCGTCCAGAGCCAAATCGACCCGTGACAATCGGTTTGGCGTTTTCGCCCGCCCGGTGCGGCGCTTCGTGGCCCCATAGGGAGCTCCACCGACGGCCCCGGCGCCACCGCCCGCATGCGTTACCTCCCACCCAGTGCAGCGCCTCGTGGCGCCACCGAAGAAGATATTCACAATTGCGGTACCCGCAACTGCATATGGTTGGGTCCTTCGCCAGGATATTTGAGTATTTTTGTTTTTTTTGAAATCCGCCTGTAGGGGGACATGCCCGACCTAACCCTAGCCCCCGTCCCCAGACCCCCGACGTCATGATTTGTTTACAGAGTCGACCCCAGAGGTTTCGACCCTTCTCTTGGGATCGGCTCCTCATCCTGAGTCGCTTTCGACGGCTCTGGGCCCGGCGGGGGCCTCCCGAGGCCGACAATTTGAAAACAAACGAAAATCGAGATGCTTCACGACGCAAGGGGGGTCTGGATCTTGGGCGGACCCCGTGCACGGATGCACCGGCCACGGCTGGGCCAATCTTGGGCTCGGGGCTGGCGCGTGCGGCTGGCCTTCCTGGCTCTACCAAGACAATCCTAGAGGCCTCGTGCGGCCCGCAACAGTCGTGTTATCCAGTCCGCACGTCCGCCCCGTCAGATATGGAACGACGATTGCGCGGCGCCGTTCCAACGCAAATCGGACGTGGATCCGGCGGAAACCAACGCAGCCCGACGTGAACCCGACGCAAGCCTGCTGGGTCCGACGAAAGATTGGCCTCAACGTGCCGCGCGAGACCTCCAGGATACAGTGAGCGGCCTGACTAAGGAACATTTACTTTCCAAAAGGGTCTCGGTCGTTCCTCAGGCTTGCATGCGTTATCTATCGCTCCTTGTGCGTGATTTCTTACATATCGTTCCTTATGCGCTACTCCTTAGGGAAAAAGGGGGCTGCGTTCCTGAGTCATCGTTCCTTAGGTCAGGCCGATGACTGCATTCTTCATAACGCTCCCGCCTTCGAGGTTCTTGCGCGAGTGCGGGGGAAAGGAGGGGTGAGAGCCGCCTCGGCGTTGGCCCTCTCCCCCTCTCAGGGCGGCTCCTTTCTCAAAATGTAATTATCGTCATAACGCCATTACGTTCGTTTGAAAAGCGTGCAACTGTTTCAAAGATGGCGAGCGGTTTCTTTTCAACATGTGGCTCAACATGTGGTTCTCGCTTCAGCGCCGCGCACACTCGTCTTTACAGCTTGCAAGAGCTTCAAGGATGGAGGGCGGCGCCTTCTCAAAATGTGGCTCTCGCCATATCGCCGCGCAGATTCTTCTTAAAAGCTTAAACCTGCTTCAAGGAATCCTGTGGTTGATGCCCTTGAATTGAGTTCTGGCACGATTGATGACTGGCACGCCGCAACAGTTACGTTGAATCACTGTGTAGAAGTCACAGGAATGGTCTTCTGGCGCGGTTTCGGAGTGTCGAGACGCACGGTAGAAAGAAACAATTAGTGGACACTCCCCCGCTCCCCCAAAATCAAAGTTGGCACGCGCGGGGAAGATTGCGGTCGAAATGCAGCTCCTTCAACCCACCGCCAACATTGAGCCCGGGGGCATCGACAGATGAATGCGGCATAAGTATTCGCAAATTTCTTCCGAGGCCTGTACCAGTCATTTTGATTCGCGGCACTGAAGTCCCAGGAATTGCGTTTTGGCACATTTGTGGATTCTCAGACGGTTAATCGGGCACTTACCGCAATGATTATAATTTCGTGTAGTTTCTCATGAAGAGGGAAATTGGAGGGAAGGTGTACTGCAACATCGTTGATGCATCTTGGGTTTACACTGGTCCTCATCCCCCGCCTCCTCTCCCGTAGCCCTTATAGCTTAAGCAAGTGAGGATCAAGCTCATGTCGGTCGAGCAACAGAGCTGACGAGGAGGGGTCCGCGGTGGCCCAAGTTCTCTGGGCCCGTGCGCGCCATGGCGCCCAATTCCACCCTTAGCGACATCCGGAGTTGGGACAAGCCGGCGCTAGGCCCAGGGATGGCGAAGTTTATAAACACGTGCTCGTCCATGGAACCTGTCAAATTTAGCGTGGGTGTCGCGATCGGCGTTGTATCGTTGTGCGCGACTTGGAGCATATGCCTTCGGCATTGGTGTGCTCTATGGCGAGCACCGATAAGTTTGCGGAGATCTTTTTATCTGCAAATCTGCATGTTCCCAGCCGTAACCGCCACGACATGTTTTCTGATGATACTGGACCCAGGCACTGACAGAATTTTAGAGGCTGCCCGGTCGTTCTACGAGGCGCTGACGCTTTATAGGTTCGGCATGCTTTTGTTCATCCTGGTGATGTACGAGAGCGGCCGGATCGCCGCTTTAGGCCAGGCCGACGAGGCCGACGGTGTCAACGACATGGACCCCGCCTCGATCGTGGTTGCTCTGGCCGTACAGGGCAAGAGGAAGCATTTCGGTGTGCCCCCACTGGGGTGTTGCTTGCGCCCGTGCATGCGAGCGTCCAA